ATATATATATATATATATATATATATATATATATATAATTTTATAATATATATAATATATAAATATATAATTTTTTTGACCCAAAAGTTTTGAATGGTATTGCACTCTCTGTAATAAAAGCATTAGGTTTTGATGTGCTAATAAGAATAGCTACAAAACACGTGACATGTACTGCCTTTGTGGAACCAAAGCATAAAAACAACAAGAGGGATTAAAAGTGAAATCTTTGAAATGCGTGAGTGTTTGTGCATGTGTGTATCTACAGAGAGTGTTTGATTAGTCTGTTCTCTGTTTGAGGAGGATTACTGCTGCCTGACAGGACAGAGAAGCACACAACTCAACCATTAATTACACACACGCACACCTTCCTGCTGGCGTCCCCACAGCTGAGTGAGTCAGTAAGTGTAAAAAAAAAAAAAATTATCAAAAAATAACAAAAATGAAACTCAAATGCTGGGATGCATTGATATTTCACTCAAAAATGAAAGTTTTGTCTTCATTTATTTACCTTCCTACTCCAAACCAAGGTTATTATAGCTTGGCATTTTTTTTTAACCCTTTTCATTTATGAGTTTTAACTACTCCAGCTGACCCTTCAGTGTGTGTGTGTGTGGTTTTTTTTTTTTTTTTGTGACCATTACTCAGAATCCATTGCATTCTAAAGTTATCATGGCGACACATCAAAATTATTACATGCCCCTTTTGCCCCAATGATCCATGTACATGTCGTATTTGTTTTTTGTTTGTTTTTTTGACTTTTCAGTACATATTAACAAATATTCTATTTATATTGTAAAAATTGTGATACTCCAATTCTCAAATAGGTGACAGAACATATAGTTTGTCTTTTAAACAGCTTAAAAATTACAGGTAATTGGCAACATTGTTGTTGCTAAAAGGGATACAGCTGCAATCAGAAGTTAACCAAAAGTATTTATATTATTTATTAATAATAGACACTAATAAAATACAATTAATGCGTAATTTAATAAATAATACTAATACTTCTCGCTAACTTCCGATCGCAGCTGTATCCCTTCTAGCAACAACCGCAAGAGAGATCCGAGCTGCTGGATGTACGTCATATTAATTCATACTTTTCTGCTGAAATACATTAGAATAATCAACTGTTTATCTGGAAGAGGAATAGAGAAAATATTCTAGAAACATAAACAGTGTGTATCTTATGTGAACAAAGCACATCATCCAGTTATATAGAAAAAAAAATGATGCCGTCTCCATAGACATCTATGTGTGTTTAACAAACCTTAGATGGTACATTTTGCTTGTAGTTATGTGTATTTGAATGTCTGAAACCTAAAATAAGTGTTATTTGTTTGAAAGCACAGATAAATTGTGATTTATGACAAGCTCTGTGCACCTCTTTCTATGCCTCAACGTGCGCTATCAGATTTGAATTTTAGCTGTTGATGACAAGCGCACTGAATATTCTAATCATACCGGTGGGATTGTAGACTTCAGAGATCAGCCAAGGCTGATCACACTTTGATCGTCCGCGTGAAACATCTTTTAATAATTTTTAAAGTTTAGATCAAGTGTGTCAATGTTTTGTTTTAGTTTTCATTTTGTGAACACATTAAGCTTTTTTATATTTAGTTTCAGTAGTAATTCTAGTTCCAGAGTCTAACAGAGTTAACAGAACACATTCAGTGTTGACCAGAGTCAACTGTAGTGCAAATCTCTTGGTAATATAAATTAAAATAATTGTATGAGCAGACACTGAACCCAGAACTACACAAATGCAACTTTAAATGGATAAAAGTAAAAATTTCTTAAGAATTCAAATGAGCTTCAGATTGTATATGTAGTTAAACAGGCATTGATTGCATTTTTTTTTTTGAGTTTTAACACTTAATTGTTTTTAGAAAATATGTTTTTTTATATAGAAAATAATGCACGTGACTAATGTGTTTGTCTGTAAAAGCTCTTCAACAGGTAATTCTACAAACAGCCGCAGGCAGTTTTTTTGTTAACACAAAACGAGTGCTTAGAAATGTGAAAACATTTATTATTATTATTATTATTATTATTATTATTATTAAATTCCAGTTTTTCAGCAACAGTTTAGTTTTAGTTTTTTTGATTATTTAGATTTTGTTATTATTTCTTAGTCCATTTATTAAAAAAGGGGTCACCGCAGCGGAATGATCCGCCAACTGATCCAACATTTTTTTTTTACACAGCGGAAGCCCTTCCAGCTGCAACCCATCACTGGTAAACATTCATACACACTCATACATTACGGACAATTGAGCTTATCCAGTTTGCTTATACCAATTCACCTATAGCACATGTCTTTGGACTTGGGTGGGGAAGTGGAGCACCCGGAGGAAATCCAAGCATACACGAGAGAACATGGATACCCCAAACAGAAACGCCAACTGATCCAGCCGAGGCTCGAAATAGCGACCTTTTTGTTGTAAGCAAACGTGCTACCCACTGCGCCACCGTGCTGCCTTTATTTCAGTTACTGAAATGTTTTTTTTTTTTTAAACAACCATTTTAGTCTACAAAACAGAAGAATTTAGAAGAACTTTCTCAGCTTTAAAAGCTTTTAAATGACGGCATCTACAGCCCAGGGGTTATTATGCCGATATATAGCACTTTAGATGTCCCAAGGTGACCCACCTCTTGGACCCTACTCTCCAATCAAATAAAGACATAAATAGCACAAACAGCCTTTAAATAAAGTCAACATTCGTGTAAACTGCTTTTGTTGTTTTTTTTTTACTTTTTGCATATTGACTTTAGTTTTATGGAAAAGAGCAGCTGTGATATTCTGCTAAACATCTCATTTTAAAGAAATGTATGACATATTGGGCAGAGGGGTGGTGCAGTGGGTAGCACTGTAGCCTCACAGCAAGAAGGTTGCTGGTTCGAGCCTCAGTGGGTTAGTTGGCAATCCTGTGATGAGTTTGCATGTTCTCCCCGTGTTTGCGTGGGTTTCCTCCGGGTGCTCCAGTATCCCAAGACATGCGCTATAGGGGAATTGGGTGAGCTAAAATGTTCGTAGTGAATGTGTGTAAATGGGTGTGTATGGGTGTTTCCCAGTGATAGGTTGCAGCTGTAAGGGCATCCAATGCGTAATAACATATTCCATATGAATTGAGCCAAAGAGAAAATGAATGAATGACATTTCTTGTAAGAATTATGACTTTAAACGTCTGTATATAACATGAATAGGATGGTGTGTATGATCAGTTGATTATTTTTGTCTTTAAAGCAGGTTAAAAAAAAGGTAAGGCTTCACTCACCGTGCATCATCGCTCATGCTGCTGTTGTCCATAGGAGCCATAAAATTCATCAGCTTACTGTGAACGTGAAACCTGACAAGGGTTTGAAGGAAAGAAGGTCAAGTATAAGCTCAAATAGTCTTGAGTAAACTGAATTGTGCCATCAGAACACACACACAGCCGAACTCTGAACTCATTTACATGACAAACAGACAATTAAAGATGTTTGATAAGAGATGATATCTGCTGCTTCTTAATCAATAGAAACAACCCCATCTCATTCCTGTATTATCCTCTATCTTTATGTAACTGAATTAAGATGATGCTGATAAACACCTTCCGATGTTTTGGTCACATAAAAAGTACAAGCTTTGTAAGATAATCTAATTAAATCAGAGTTATTTTATTATTATTGTAAAAATACCTAGCAAGAGCAATTCAATAGAACAAGCAAAACAGTATTAAGCAATCAGCAAAGTTTTAACTTGAGCTTTGAAAACAACACAATTTCTGTTTTTTATGCAGTAAATTCATGTCAGCAAGACTACTGTTATTTTGTGTAACTATCATGCATACAGTATATAATTTTTATTTTTGTTAATATTTTAAATTTAATTCATAATTTTAATGTCATTTTGTTAAGTTTTAGGTATTCTGAGCATGTAGTTTTTATTTGTTTTTGTTCTTTTAAATACATCCTTGCATGTTAAGGTTTCAGTTTAATCTATATTAGTGTTTCCAACTTACTGATTTACATGTTGAGTCAAAGCAAAGATGCGATTAGACATCCGGTGGCACTAATTGTGTGATTGAGGTGGCGCATTTAAACGATTCAAGCGAATGACATGATGCAAATTGAGCATTTTTATTTATTTAAATCATTTAAGTGCTAGCCTGTGATTTGCTCGAATCTCTCGAGTTGAAAAATCTGAACTTTTCCACACATTTGCGCCACATTAACCAATCAGGAGCTTGCTCCATTAGTGGCATGATTATGTCACAGTGTCACTAGTTGTTGTCCTAATGGGAAATTCTGCCGCTGACATGAGACAACAGGTCAAGATAAAAAAATTAAGCAATAAAAAAAATAAATAAATAAAAGAATTTAAAAAATTCATAGATCACAGAGTAGCTTCACCTTATACCTTATAGCATTTAGTTTTTAATCACAGCTCTGTCAGTGAAAGTGGTTGAGCAAACAAGAAGCACCATGAAGGAGTTTGCACATGTCAGAGCATTTGATTGGCCAAGATTTGATGAAAAAGTATGAGGTGATGTGAAAAAGAAAAAAACAACATTTAGGCAGAAGTAACTGCAAACTTGGGTAATGCAATGGTGCAGTGGGTAGTATGTTTGCCTCACAGCAAGAAGGTCACTGGTTCAAAGCCTTGGCTGGGTCAGTTGGCAAATCTGTATGGAGTTTGCATGTTCTCTGTGCGTTTGCGTGGGTTTCCTTCAGGTGCTCCGGTTTCCCCCACAAGTCCGAAGACATGTGGTTCAGGTGAATTGGGTATGCTAAAATTGACTGTAGTGTATGAGTGTGTGTGTCTATGGATGTTTCCCACTGACGGGTTGCAGCTGGAAGGGCATCTGCTGCACAAAATATGCTGGATAAGTTGGCGGTTCATTTAACTGTGTTGACCCAGAATAATAAAGGGACTAAGCCGAAAAGAAAATGAATAAATGAACTGCAAACTTTATTTTTTTATCTTTTAAGTACAAATTGTGTCACTGTTTTAGAACAAACTAGTCTAAACAAAAACATCTAAAAAAAAAAAAAAAAAAAACATTTTAATTTTAACAGGACTTTTAAATGTTTATTTTAAGTGAAATCAAAAATTCATTCTTTGTTAAAAATAACTCTGGCCATTTCAGGCCATTGTAACCACAAAATTAAAATGAATAATTTGCTAATAGATTGTTTTTCTTAACAAGAATTATACTGCCTGGACTAAAAAAGGTTTACATATAAACCATTAGAACTAACAGTACACCAACTTCTATTATATTGTATAAATAATTAAAGCTTACTAAAACATTTCTGCATTTATTTGAGAAAGGCAAATAAGTGTTTCTATAGTTTTACTGTTCTATAATAGCTCAGAATATGACAATGCAGCATTTCTGCTGTTGCATGACAACAATACCATTGTAGTTCATAAAGTAAAATATATATATATATATATTTATATATATATATATATATATATATATATCAAGGTGTTAGCAAAAGCAAAAACAAAGTGTTTAGTGTCAGCCTTATGTGTACAGTAAACTGTATTAGTTTTTGATACCATTAATTGTATTTTAATGCTATATATCTATTATTTATGTTTTAGTTTTTGTACTATTAAAAACATGTATGTACATTTAAGTTTCGAATTTATATTTCAGTACTTCGACCTAAATCAAACAAACTAGCTGAAAAAAAAAAGTTTTTTATTTTAGGTAATGTTCATTTTATTTCAAAGCTGAGCACCATATGTATGTGTCTTTTTTATATCATATTTTCCCCCCAACATTTAAATTTGGGTGTGCTAATTTTTGGACCTTTATTGTAAACTATTGTTACATTAGGTTCAGATTTGGCTTTAGTACTGACTAATCTAATGTAAATGAACAAACATAATATTGTAAAACATCCTATGAAAAATACTTATTTAAATGAATGATTTGTGAGGGGTGTACTTATTTATGCTGAGCACTTTATACCATATGTATATAACATTTTTATCACAAAAAAATCTAAAACATTTAAATAAAAAAGAGAAATTATTTTATTTTATTACATTTTTATAAAATAATAAAAATAAACAATAAAAATAAAAACTAAGATAATCTTGCAAAATGTTCCTCATAGTAATGTCACAGAAAAAAAATCGATTGTTTCTTGAGAATGAAAGTTTACCTGATTTTTCTGCCTTTGCTGGCTTTGGTGTCCACCTTCTTCTTGATTTTACTACGCAGTTTCTGGATAGCAAGCCATTGCCTGTGAGGTTGAACGTAGAGTTATAATAGTCAAATGTGTACAATGTATGAAACATATATATGCACAGACACACACTCACTTTCCCATGGCCACTTGATCATTGGGGTCTGTTGCACTTGTTTTGCGCTCAATAAGCTCTCGGAGAAGCTGTGCAAAAGAAAGAGAGCTTAAGAAAACCCTGACATTGCATCTGTATGTCTACCATTTTATAGAAGGGTATTTTTGTACTTGTTTTTACCATTTTTATTCAACAAAAAGAAATACATAGAAATACAATTTTATTGCATTGGAAATGGCGGTTTTCACCAGAGATTTATTAGAGGGGTGAAAAAGTACTCTAGAAAGATGCCATCATCATTTTATTTTTACAAAGAGACAAGCAGTTATAATAGTAATAGTAGTTGTATATAGCAATTGTTGAAGCATTATGTTTTCAATGGACACTTCTAAGATGGAAAGCTTGTTTATAAGAGGTATAAAATATACATCTTGAGTTACAGCCAAACAAACTTAGCAAAGATAATGCTTTCACCACTCAGACTGTTATTTCCCATGCAATTACTTTCAGAATATTTCAGAATGATATGAGATTATTTGTGGTTTAGACATTCCCGAACTATCAGATCTCAGAATCCTTCCTATCAGCTATATGCAAACTGACCTACAATTGTTTTTTTTTTTACAATTTATTCACAGAGCCATATTGAGATCCTAATATCTCTGAAAATAAATAAGACTGTTTCTTAACCATTTACATACTAAAGCAAACGTTTTTCGACAACTAGGATCCAAAATGTTATGGATATATCTTGAAAACCTCTTGAGGGTTTTAACCATGGAATCTTTGTGGTAAAATAAATAAATAAATAAATAAATAAATAAGAATGTGTCTTTTTTCCATTTTTTAAGCATCCCATTTAAAATATAATCAGAATCACTTTTATTGCCAAGTGTGCTTCACAGACAAGGAATATGTTTTGACTACAGAAGCTTCCAGTGAACATAAAGTGACATGTGACAACACAAAATAAATATGAAAAAAGACGATAAACATTAAACAAAGATGCAATTAGTCAAAAAAAATCTTAATGTTGAGTTGTATTTACAGATATGTAATAAATATACAGGTTTTAAGGTGCTGAGTACAAATGCGTATGAGAAAGTATTGCATTGTATTTTGTTATAAAGTGCTGCTGTGTACAAGTGTGTATGAGAAAGTATTGCATGTTTATAGCAGAGTAGGGCAATATTTAACTGTTCATGAAGTAGACGGCCTGAGGAAAGAAACTTTTCCTGTGTCTGGCTGTTTTTGTGCTTGGTGCTCTGTAGCGCCGACCAGACGGTAACAGTTCAAACAGGAAGTGTGCTGGGTGCAAGGCATCCAGAGTGATTTTGCGAGCCCTTTTACTCACTCTGGAAGAGTACGGTTCTTTAAGTGTACTAATGCTACAAGAACTGCTAAATACAACATATTTTAATAATAAACTAATTAATCTCAGCAAACAAAATCTAATGAAGTCATCTGTCTTTAGTAATTTTGCCCACTTGAAATGTGGCTAGAAATCATAGGTGAAAACTGCCATTTTGACCTCTTTAAAAAACTATGGATTAAGTCTCAATCAATGATTTATTTTATTCTTTATATTCAAATATAAATAATATAAATCTCAAATTTGAGTTGACAGTAAATGATTAGCTATAGGCTACTACAACACTGCAGTTATTATTGACAAATGAACTGAATAGTGTTTTCTTACCTGATGATAAAAATCATCATCATCAAAAATGTTCTCATCCAGATCTTTGAGGTGCATGTTGGCTTTTACTGCCAGTTCAGCCACCTGAAATAACACAAAGTGAAGATTAGTGTAATTGTTTTTTTAATAATTGTGTTTAGCGTAGGAATCTTCATGATTCACGATTCGATTCCAAAACAATCTTTGACTTACATTTTTTTCCTTATTTCTTCGGCTATGCAAATACATCTTACTAACTTAACATTAACCAAGAGAGGCGTTTCTATGCTTAGGTTTAAGATTAAAATCTATGTATGACAGTACTGTCATCTTAAAAACGATTGACCAAATTTTATTAAAGTCATATTCTACACCAGGGGTGGCCAACCCTGTTCCTGGAGAGCCACCTTCTTGCAGATTTCAGTTGCAACCCATATCAAACACACCTGCCTGTAATTATCATGTGGTGTTCAGGTCGTAAT